CCCTGATGGGATTATGCTTTGAAAAGCAGCAGCATCAGTGCCATGCTAATCGAAAATTGGCGGTTTCGTCAGTGGTTTGGTGGGAGGGGGGGGGGGTGTTCTTTTTTATGCCTCTCTTATCGGTCTTGTCGTTGCAAAATAACCTATAGTCATTCGGCTTTAATTGGCTTCAACCTTTACTAACTTGGACATGGCCGCCGCAGGTTCGCTGTGTTCTCCCTGGGCTCCTCGGCGTACCCCAACTTCTGCGCGTTCGGCCAGTACGTGGACAACCTGCTGGGCGAGCTGGGCGGCGAGCGCCTGCTCAAGATGGAGTGCGGTGACGAGATGTGCGGCCAGGAGCAGGCCTTCCGGAAGTGGGCGCCCGAGGTGTTTAGCGTGAGTATCCTGCGGACCCGAGGTGTACAGCTTGAGTATCCTGCCGGGCCGACGTGTTCAGCATGAGAGTATCCTGCGGACTCGAGGTGCTCAGCTTGAGTATCATCCTGGTGACCCGCATATGCTATGGCGTGCAGGTGGCGTGCGAGACGTTCTGCTTGGACGACGACGACTCCTTCCTGGAGGCCACGATGGCCTTCAAGTCCGAGAGCATATCCCCGTCCAGCATCCGGTTCGTGGACGCCGAGCCCCAGGAGATCGACCAAGGTAAGTTCGTGCCAGTTTGGGGGGGGGGAGTTTGTTTCGCGCACTCAACAGAAATGAAATAACTACAATTCCAAACTGTACCATATTTTCAGAAAAACTTAATTTTTTGTTTATTGAAATTTTGTGGTAAAGGCCTCTCCCGCTGCCACAACCGGCGCGTGCGAGCGTGCATGCTGCGCCGGCGGAGCAACCTGCACGGCAGCAACGCCTCCAGGGCGACCCTGCAGCTGGAGCTGGACGCGGGCGACGTCGAGTACCAGCCGGGCGACCACGTCGGCGTGTTCGCCATCAACCGGACCGAGCTGGTCGACGGCATCATCGCGCACCTGCAGCAGCCCTGCGACCCGGACAAGGTGGTCGAGCTGCAGCTCGAGAAGGAGAGCCACACATCCAACGGTACGTAGCTCATAACATAAACAAATTAAAAAAAAAAAAAACTGTTTTCAGAAGAAATGTTTGTTGGCAGATTTATATTTTTTCGGAGTCGGTAAATGTCAATCAAATTTTTATGGAAAAATTTAAAAAGTACCGATTATTATACCGATTTTAGAATCCCTAAACAAACAAGTACTCATTGAAACCTTTTGTCTTCTATTTCGTCAGGCGTGGTCAAGTCCTGGGAGCCGCACCCGCGCCTGCCGCGCGTGTCGCTGCGCATGCTGCTGGCCCGCTTCCTGGACCTCACGACGCCGCCCACGCCGCAGCTGCTGCAGTGGCTCGCCACGCAGGCCACGGACCCCGAGGAGCAGCGCGGCCTCACCATCCTGGCCACCGAGTCGGGCGCCTACGAGGACTGGCGCCACTGGCGCTTCCCGCACCTGCTCGAGGTGCTCGAGGAGTTCCCGTCCGTGCGGCCGCCCGCCGCCCTGCTGTGCGCGCAGCTGACGCCGCTGCAGCCCCGCTTCTACTCCATCTCGTCCAGCCCGCTGGTGCACCGCGACCAGGTGCACCTCACCGTCGCCGTGGTCACCTACCGCACCAAGGGCGGCGAGGGCCCCGAGCACTTCGGCGTCTGCTCCACCTACCTGCAGCACGCCCCCGTCGAGGAGAACGTGTACCTCTTCGTGCGCAGGCAAGCCCCACACACTAACCCTTCCCCAACCGGTAACTCCGTGTCGAGACTATGGCATGGATTGGTAACGCCCCTCGTTCTTTTGCAGCGCGCCCAACTTCCACCTGCCGACGGACATCAGCAGGCCCATCATCATGGTGGGCCCGGGGACTGGCGTCGCGCCCTTCAGGGGCTTCTGGCACCACCGCAAGGCGCAGCTGTCTGGTAAGGGCCGACAGAGTTGTGACCGTTGTGACTATCCTGTACGACGAGTGTTCGTCGTGCCGATGGCTATTTTCGACCCGACCTTTTCGACGCGTAGCTGGGACGGAGGCTGGAGAATCATCTGCTCAGAATCCGCGAGGTTCCAGCGGACGGATCACGCGGAGGCGTCGCGTAAACGTGAACACATTATACTTGTCCCCACAGGAAAGCAGGAGTACCGCGTCAAGCCTCTGGAGGAGCGGACCCTCGACCTGGCGGTCCCCGTGTCTAAAAAGTCGTTCTCGGTCGAGGACCTGGTGCAGTTCTACGGTCAGTCTCTCTCCGCAGGTCCTTTGTGCTTGGCTGCCGGGGCCGCCGCTGCTGCTACAACACCTGGTGACGGCTGTTCTCTCCGCTTGCGACTAAACGCTCTGTGCTCCTAACGCTCGACGCCGCAAGGACACGCCAACTAACTCTCCGGATGAATTAGACCCTGGTCCATGGTCGGACGGAGGTTTAATCCCGCTTCCCCTTTCTGTGCAGAGCGTTCCGACGCGGCGGTCGGCTCCATGTGGCTCTTCTTCGGCTGCCGCCAGCGGGCGCTCGACCTGTACAAGGACGAGAAGGCCGCCATGCTGAGGGACGGGGTGCTCGACCAGGTCTTCCTCGCGCTATCGAGGGAGCCCACCATAGACAAGGTATATAGTACGACACAGCTTTGAGGAAGCTGCTGCATAAGAGGAACAAGAAGAAGGTGGCGCCGAGAGATTGCGTGGCGTAGCGCCGACCATACTGTGTTTTGCCACGAGTGCATGTGTGATCATAAACCAAGTTATGTACAATTTGTCGAAACAAATTGCATCTAGAGTATATCGGAGTAGCATTTTTGTGACAATAAGTGGTTCTGTAAAGTTTGGCTTCGAAAAAGTAAGTTTGTTAACACAATCTTCTACACCGCCCCGCTGTCGTTGTCTAGGTTAGTGTACGGGCATATTGCATTGGTACAACTTTAACTTAATGATTACTTAATGATAATGGTAAAAGGTAATTAACCTTGGTAAAGGTGGTACCATGGTGCTATAGATGCATAGGCCCGCTGAAAAACTGTTTTAAATTATACGACACGCAACCTAACCTTTGGTATACTGTCGCCCATCTTCTGCTTCTTTTTAGGGTTGTGGCATTTCTTTACCGTGGTTAGGGCTTGCACTCAAATTACGTCCTTTAAGTGTAGATGGTGCGGTGTACATTTTCTTCGCCTCTCTTCTAATTGAGTTTAGGCCTTATAAATAATACAAGGTCCGCTGTGGCTGAACGCTATGATAAAGAAGTTGTACCTGATCTCCCCTGTACTTACTCTTCCATTTACAACCTTGAGTTTAAAAAAGTACCGGAAAAAAAAAGAAACGTCTCAACCTGTGCGATAACGAACTCTCTGTGACTGTGCCGCAGACCTACGTGCAGGACCTGGTGCGGCGCGAGTCGGGCGCCGTGTACCGCAAGCTGGTGCTCGAGGGCGGGCACTTCTTCGTGTGCGGCGACTGCACCATGGCGGAGCACGTGTACCAGACGCTCAAGCTCATCATCCAGGAGCGGGGCGCCATGACGGACAGCCAGGTGGAGCGGTACATGCTCAAACTAAGGGTAAGTCATTTTTTCCAATTTTTTTCCTCGGGAAAATTATGTTGATTTTTGAATATTTTACCTTTGAATAAGGTAGATTTTAAAAGTATCCCTGCCGGCCCAACGAGAGCACAGAGAGGCGTGGCATAACATCATTTTAACGTCAACTTGATTCAAAATAACGTCAAAACGACGGCAATGTGCCACGCGGCCTACCTTGGGCGCACTGGGACTGGGCGCTCGAGGGCGGGCCGCCAACTCCACGCGGCTGCGTGGCGGGCTGGCCTACCCGGCGTGCCGCAGGCGCTAGCGTTAGCCGTCGCAACTTTGTATGCTTGTCCCCCGTGAGAAATTCACATCGAAATAAAATCGTTTCTTAAGGGCGGCACAGTCGAATTGAGTAATACGCATAGCATTTCCTCGGCTGCGTGGCGCTTTCTCGAAGAACGTTCATTATGGTGTCTGAGAGGTGCTGTTTTGGGCGTGACCCTCTCTGTGGGTGACGTCCAAGTGGCCTGCGCGGAGGTGTCCAACGTGCTTGGTGCTTCCAGGACGAGAACCGCTACCACGAGGACATCTTCGGCATCACGCTGCGCACGGCCGAGGTGCACAACCGGTCGCGCGAGTCGGCGCGCAGCCGCATGGCCTCGCAGTCGCAATAGAAGTTGCGTGTCCGCTCGGCGGGCGAGGCGGGCGAGGCGCAGGACGACGACGTCGACGCCCCCCTCAGCTCCAGGACCGCCGGCGGGCACGAGCCCAGCGCGCGGCAGCGGCTCAACACGGACTAGCGGGTCATGGGCGTTACGATACGGGCGACGGAGGCATCCGCTGCTGCCTTCCGTCGCTGATCACCGAAACATTCCCATCGACAGTTGGAACCACTGTGGGGGGGAAAGAGAGCATGCGCTGACTGCAGTCACACTCAGCACATTCATCCGGGGGTGTTTAGTAAATTTACCTTGCCGTTTTCTCCAACTCAAGGGCAAGACCGTAATTGCACGACCATTTCAGTCTGGAGCCTACTTGGTAGGTGCAATTATATTTCAGTATGAAACAAAGTACCTTATTTTCTACTAATTAAAATTAAATCCAAAGGTAGGTATTGGAACTCTTTTCCCCAACCTTTTCTCTCATCAAACTCCTGTTTATTTTAATTTGAGAAGCCCTCTGCTGTGCATGCACTATGATTACTTCACATGTTAATTCTGTCATTTTTGTTAGAAATTATAGCTGTACCTTACAGTATTCCCTCTAACAAGCTACAAGAGCAAATGCAAGATGTGGATTTAAGCCTATCCTTTTTGGTGAATAGATATAAACGTTTTCAATCATAAAAGTTAGTGTTACATAGTTAACTTCAGAGAGTGGGAGACTAAGATTTAATCTCATATCATGATCCTTTTGTCAGTCTTTTTCTCATTCTGCACTTAGAAGAAAGTTACCTCTTTAGCATGTTTTGTATTATTTTCTTCAATGCTATCATAAGAAATGAGTGGTTTCTGTGCTTTTATAAAGATCGGCCACTGCAATTTGCAAACAGCATATTAAATAATGTATTGATGTATAGTTTTTAAACTTCTGAAATCTATTAATTCCATTGGTTAATATTTTATAAAATTGGAGGTCCTCACATACCTTTTTGACTCTTTTGCTTTACCTTTTGCACTGAAATATTTGATTGTTATGATAAAGTATTTTATTGCACTGTAAATTAGAGGTGTTCAGTTATTTATTCAGCTGGCCCTCTCTCTTCAAGGGTGAAATTAAAGGCCTATTTGCAATTTATGTCGTAAGTCCTAAAATTTGCAACAGAGATAAGTGATAAGCTGTAACTTTTTGGTGATGTAAGTTCTGTTTTGTCAGAGTTTATCCCTGCTAATGAGTATAGTTAGTACTGGTTAGCAGAGCTATTTTCTGGTAACAATTTCAAAAGTAGGCAAAATTATCTAAACCTAATTATTAGCCTAATACTATGGAAGGAAGCAATAAGTAATCAGTTGTATCATCACAGTGGGCTTTTACTGTACTACTTTCAATATCATTAAAGGTTTTTTTAAGACTTGATATGAGAAACTTGCGCAAGGTTTCACTTTTTATTGTGGCAGATGTCTTCCGTACTCAAATGTAAATAAGTAGTAGTTTGGCTGTGACATGGTGGGCGACATAATTTGAGAGATTGAGTAAGATTATGCAACTACAAGGGGTATCATATGTGGATTTCATGAATGTGTCTTCTGATACAATTGTTTTAAAATTTATGCTATACACAATGTCGCATTATATCCTATTTTTCTACTTTGTTTGAGGGGCTAACTTTCTGTAAAGTCTATTGTATGTTGCAAGTTTGTTTTTTAAATGTACTATACTTCTTGTTACTAAATATAAATATTTTAACTTGCTCTGTGATTAGGTAAGCATTTATTTTTCTTAAGTGTCTTTGGAAGTAAGTACAGTACAAATATTCTGCTTTGAAGTCTTCAAGCTTCTATTGTGGAAATTTTCAACCACCAGATACATCCATTTTCATTAAATTCTTTTGTTGTTGGGTGGGGAAATTGTACATATGCTGTAACATTTGTACTATATACAAGATGTTGTATAGGCCATCAATGAGCTGAGCTCATCATCTTTAAAATTTTGAATACTCCCATTTATGAGTTCCTCTTTCCTTTGAGCATTACTTCCTATATTTCTAAAGTTTGTCTTAATTTTATCAAATTGGTTGTGCAATATGAAAAAGTATACTTCAAAATGGGGTGCTTATCAGTGTAAATAACTTGCAAGTGAGAGAAAGCACATGCCAGTCTTCATCTCATTTATTTACTAATTATTCTCTTAAGTATTTTAAGGAGACAAAGCTTGTCTTTACTAATATTCTCATATCAGTCAGATCTGCTGGAATGAGAGAAATACCCTAGAATTTAGTGGCATTTTCCTTCAAAGTGCTTAAAGGAGCCAAACTTGTCTTTGGTGGAAACCAAAATGCAGCCTCGAAGTTGGAACGTCAAACACATTGTGATATAGTTACGATTGTGAATGCTCCTTTTGGCTTGTTGATATCTGAATAAATGTAGTATCAAACATTCTTTATCAAATTTTCTTGTTTCTATGAGGAAGTACTTTTCCAATCACTATATAGAAGTTCTTGCGGGCATATTGCCTTATGTTAAATAAGCAAAAGTAAATAAGATTGATGATTTTTTTCTTTCTTTGAGATGTGTGTTGTCATTTCCATACAATTGTGTCCTATATCCTCCATGTTGAAATTACACAATGGATCATCAAATCCCATTCGTTGATTATTTCACTCCAAATCTATACGTAAAATACTCTAAATGTTCAGGGTTAACAAAATGCATAGAGCTAAAACGATCTAAACACTTTATTAAATTTGATATCAAAGACACAGAACACAGCCTGAACACCACTTTTGATTAGTTGTATGAATGTGCTTAGAATTAGGGTACACACAAAAGTTAACAATATTGTACCCCTCACTTCACAGAAAGAAGTGTATTAGCATACTGAAATTCAGGACTATTTTCATACTCACACATATCAAGTGCGATAACACAACTTTCACTTACAACTCTTTTTTCATCATGTAAGTGTTTTTCAAGCCCACTGTTACATTCCTCTGTGGCAATAGCACCCAGAGCTTCGGCACATTCGTGTCTTACCATTTCATTCTCAGTTTTGTCAGAAAGGGATTCCAAGAGCGCTGGCACTGACACAGGATCCTGCAGTTGTCCTAAAACAAATGCTACTTCATGCTTGAACAGCGCACTTCCAGCTTTAAGGCCTGAAAATAACAAGATTGAAGTAATACAGTATTATTAATTTAAAGTATACTGAATTTTGTTTTGAAAATCACATTGAAATTTCTTACCATCTGTTAAGGCAAGAACAGCATCGGATGAGCGCAGGTTTCGAAGAGCAAACATGGCACGATACCGATTAAATAGTGATTCATTCTCGTCCAGTAACACAGTCCTCAATTTAGACACATCTTTCTCCTCAGAAGGTGGTGTTGGGTCAACAGACTGATACGGATTTTCACTTCGTCCATCTTCTCTATGTTTTTCTACCCATGACAAGCGGTCCAATGCCAGTGCACATGTTTCGGCTACTTCAACAACAGGGTCATTTTTAAACTCCTCCAGGATGGCACAGATATCTGGGGCACCAAGTGCTCCTAGGGCCTCTCCTGGAATTTATCACAAATATGAGTCACACTGTATTTTTCAGTTAGGTCATTGGTTGTGGTGTAAATGTAGCATAACTGTTTATACCTGCTTCATGGCGCACCATGGCCTCTTGAGACTTGTCTCTCAAGACTGACACAAGGGTTGGGATGGCTGCATGATCTTGCATTTGACCCAAACAGTACGCAAGTTCGTGTTTGAGAAGAGCAGAGGGATCCTTGAAACATTGCTTTATGCACTCTTGAGCAGTTGCACCACCAACATTTCGCAGAGTGAAGAGAGCCCTGAAGCGCTCTTTGAGAGGACGGTTAGGGTCATTCAACACGCCTCCGATAGCTTTCACTTGATCCTCGGTAATGGAACTCATTCCTAAAACTTTGTCGGCTTGAAATTTGAGTGTTTGCGGCGAAAAGACTTAATTCTTCCTAACCTCACAACTCGTGGTGGTGTGTTGATGTTGACTTCGTCATATGACAGTATGGCGGTGTTTAGGTTACGTTAAGGGTTAGGTAGTAAAAGCAAAGGCTGTGCGTTTCGTTAGTCTTCTGCTAAGATCTAACCTTTATTTTTCTCACTTAAAACACAAGTTCTGTCTGGTTCTACTTACTAATTTTGTCTTCAATATGTCTATATCAAAGAATAATGCATTGATTAGATTAGTGAAAAAGAACATAGCTGGTGGGTTTGAAAGAAAAGATTCATTACCCACACCAGGAACTAGATTTGAAAAATTGGGAACTATTTTTTCAAGGTATCTATTAGAATCAGTAATTCTGGTGGTTTTTCTTTTCGTTTTTTTTTTTTTTTTTTTTTTCACTCAACTCTATATTAATCTATATTTTTTTCAGAGTTACTGGTCTTATTAGAAGTGGAGTTATGGTACAAGATGATATACCAATATGGTATTTGGTATACAAAAGATTTCCTCCGAAGTACGAGCCCCATTACAGCAGACCTCCTTTAGACATTCAAGTAAAGGATATCTATTATCCTGAGGACAAGTTGCGTGCGTAAGTACCTGCTACTGAGAATCTGATTTCTCCGTGGTTGATTTTTAAATGGACAATCTTTATACATTCCATGCTCTATCATAAATTATTTTGGTTTCAGATCAATGAAGAGGTGGGAAACTTTAGATTTAAAAAGCACGTCTCCTAATGCTAGTCAAAAGCTTGTGGCCTCATTCAAAGAGAAGAGATCTTCCACTTCAAATGATGCTGCTCTAATTGCAGAACTCCTTGCTGTCAAAAATGAAGGAAATGTTAATCGAAATGGTTAATGTGCCGTACACTGGAAAATAATAACAAAAAAGTAGCTTCTTATGATTTATTTTGTTAGCTTTGTAAATTGAACTTAAATATTAAAACACATTTTCTTTACCATAATTTCTTTTCTTTACTTAAGCTCAAGTTTGCCAGCTTCTGACGCTGGTCTGATTATTAAAGAATAATCCCTGATTGAAGCTTCATATTCATACAGAAAAGCAGGTACATAAACAAAAAACCACAGATGTGCAACACAGTACGGATGAAAATTTCCTGAATATTTCAAAATTCTATAAATGAATTAGACAAATTCAGTCCAATACTTAAACACCCAACAGGCGAACACACATGAACATTGCATGTAAATCCCAGAAATATAATAACAATGAGAAAAGAAACAAAAAATAAGTTGTATCATACAACAACAACAAAAGGTAGAAAGTCTATTGCTAAATGCTAATTGAATTTTGCTTTATCTAGCCTTTAATAACAGCTATGGGCCTTAGCTTAATGCACTTTTTGCTTATTCCTGCGGCATGACAGGTATCGACCACATCTGTTACATTTTTGTATGACTCTGGGGCTTCCTCCATAACTAACTTTAATGATGCAACTCTGATAGCAATGCCTTGTTGTTGCAATTTACTTAAGACCTCTGTGTAGTCCAAATTACGTCTAGATTTGGCTCTTGACAAAGCCCGGCCCTGAAAAACAGAAATAGAAAAACGAAACAATTTAATTAACGTAGAAACTAGAAAGGAAATGCATATGTTTGTACAAGGTGTTTGTACAAGGTGTCTGTCAGTTGCTTACCGCTCCATGACAGGTTGATCCAAAGGTTTGTTGCATTCCCTGTTCTGTTCCGGTAAGGACATAACTGCAAGTACCCATTGTTCCACCAATTAAAACAGGTTGGCCAGTTAATTGATAATCAACAGGTATCAAAGGATGGTGAGGAGGAAATGCTCTAGTGGATCCCTAAAACAAGATAGATAAAAATTAAGTGTCTGGTACTACCTACTACATGTATGCTCATTATATCAAGGACTGCTACCTTTCTATGAACCAACAATGTCTTTTGCTTGCCATCTACCATGTGTTCTTCTACTTTTGCTATATTGTGAGAAACATCATAAATAACATGCATATCCAAGTCGTCAGGAGTCATGTGGAATTGCTTCGCAAAAGCCTAGAACCAGAAAATGTTTAAAAATACCATACATTTAACTCATGAAGTACGTGTTACTATAATTTCCAGTCATAATTGCTTTTACCTGTCTCGACAAAAAAGTCATTGAGCTTCTATTAACCCACGCAAAATTTGCAGCTGCTGCCATGGCTTTAAGGTAGTCTTGGCCCTCCTGAGAATTGATGCGGGCACAAGCTAACTGTCGGTCATTTGTTTCAATATTGTCTCTTTTCATAGCTTTTTCCATTTGAACTAAAGCATCTATTACAATTTAAGCACAAATAGGTATTTAAAAACTATAGTAATAGAAATGCAAAACTACATTAACCTGTTTTGAAAAATTAAAAAATTACCTGTAGCTACTTGATGGCCAAACCCTCTGCTACCTGAATGGATCATTACACACACCTGCCCTTTATCCTCAATGCCCATCTTACTTGCTGCCCACTTGTCATAAATTTCATCCACAACTTGAATTTCAGCATAATGATTACCAGCACCTAGAGTACCAAGCTATGTTCAGAAGAAAAAAAAAAAAGTGATGGATTAACATTCATGGTTGATATATATTTAGGCTGGATTTCACTTGAATTTGCTTTACCTGTGGTAAACCCCTCTTTTTGGCCCGCATACTGACTTTAGAAGGATCAGCGTTGAGCATTCTCCCATATTCTTCACAGTGTTCTTTGTCCTCCGCCCATATGTATCCTAGAATATTGAAGTTTCCTAAATTTCTGACATACCAAACAGAATGGCACAAGAAAATTTTAGTTTACCTTCTCGGAGAGACCAGTCCATTCCCATTTCAAGTGCTTCTTCAAGGTTTGTTGCAGTCATTGGGATGATTCCCTTCGAGCCGACTCCAACAGGAATATGATCAAACATACTCTGAGCAAGTTGCTCCTACAAGAAATAAATAAATGCTTATATTTTACCAAGAAATCATTTCACAGGATCAGATCAGTACAATCAGTTCTGTACAAACTTTCACAGGCTGAACATCTTTCTCAAACAGATTCGTCCTTAAGAGGCGTACTCCACAGTTAATGTCAAAGCCAACCCCACCAGGCGAAACAATAGACAATGGATCATTCATATCGAATGCTGCCATATTACCTACAAATTCAAATCAAGAAATCAACTAAGTACAAGGAGCTGAAAACTCTCATCACAAAATCTGACAAGTAAGCTGGTCAAACAAACCAATAGCAAACCCATATCCTGAGTGAACATCAGGTAAACCAATAGAGCGATGTACAATGCCAGGGAGTGCAGCAACATTAGCAATCTGTTTCACTCCTGGCAAAAAGCCACCAACCATGCCTGGTCTGCAAGAGTTACGTAGTTCATCAAACATCAGCTTTTCCAATGCAGAATTTACGTAAAATACTCCCTCTACCTGCAATTGAAAGGCAAAACTGTCAAAGATAAGGTTTAAATTAAGATTTTTAAGTGGAGTGCATAAACTTTACTATTGCATACATTCATATTCGGTTGAAAACCCTTTTTGATTCTCCATGAGTTTGCGTCAATTCTCTCAAGGTACTTGAGTTCATCATTGTACTCTCTCACGACCATCTGAAAACAGTCAAAATTACTAGAGGTTAGTTCCCACCGGCAACATCGTTCCAATAGTTTCTCACGACATATAATATGCGGTCTGATTGTCATTGCAACTCCGTTTCTTTAATTAATGAATGAGAAAACCATAAATTTACAAGATGACAAACAGTCTCACCTTTTAAGCGAATCAATGGGAGCGGGCGACTGATGCAAAGGCCCGATCTATGATGTTGACGTTTTGGTTGGACACTTTGAATGGATTTTTGCGACCACAACCTTAGCCGGATTGAAAATTTTTCATGTGCATACCTCTAGCCTCGCCCAAGGGCTATGCATGCTGTATGTCATCCCCCCG